CGAAGCGCTAAAATTCTGTATTATAAATTTTAAGGCCAGACGAGTAGTTTGTTGAGGGTTGGTTTTTTAGGGAAGAACTACATGCCTGCGCACATATATTCAAACGCGCATCCCTATAGAATGAACTCTTAATACGCATGTGCACGCCATCAGCGTTCTCACAGGTTCGTGTTTTTAAAGTTTGCGTAGAGAGAACTTAAGAGTTTTCTGTTAAAACGGTGTCGTGTTAGCGGCCCCTAAGTTAATAACTAATGATCGTTGCGACGTGAGTGAATCAATTAAAACTAACTTTAGCTGGAAAATAACTTTATTCTGGAGCTGTCATAAAGCCAAAACAATCTGTTACTTTAATTTCCTATTATCACTGTAAAGCAGCTTTGGAACAATCTACATTGTTAAAAGCGCTATATAAATGAAGATGACTTGACTTGACTTGACTGGAGAAGGGCGTGGAGCTGACAAAAAACAAAGATTCCAAGGCAAAAACAAAAACAGTCCATGGAGGAGTGGATGGTGGGAGGAGCCAAGAGGAAGCCAGGAGCCAGATGTTAAGCCAGGGACCAGCCAGGATGAGGCCCCAGGGCGAGAGTAGCCATGGTGCCGACTTGATGGAAGGCACCCTGGGGACAACCGACGGAGATGACGCCACAGATGGAGACCCTGGTGGAGCTGACCGGCCAATAAGCCCACGCAAGACGGATGGCACTGGAGACCGAGGTGTAGCCGTGCCGACGAGCATCCGAGGTGGAGTCGGATAACCAGAGGACAGAGGCAGAGACAGCGGGACAGAGGATGGAGGCAGAGCCATGGGGAGGAGGGCGGAGCCAGACGAAGCCAAAGGTGCAAGCAGGACGATGTCTGATCAAGGTGGAGCAGGAGGGACAAGGGAGCCCGGTAGAGCCGTATGGCCAATGGTTTCCGGTGGAGCCGAGGGAGGGAGGAGCCAGGGTGGAGCCGATGTGTCAACAGGCCGAGGTGGAGCGATGGGCACAGAGGCTAGAGGTGGCGACGTGTAATTTTTTTCCCCAAACCAGTTCGGCGGAAATCCCGCCCTGCAGCCGAATCTAAAGATTTCATTGGTCATGTCAATCACTGTACTGATTGCCTACACCAAACACTGATCCCTAAACCTACCCATCACTGTAACCTTAACCAATAAAATTTGTTGCAGGGTAGGATTTCCACTAGCTTTGTAAGCTCATTCAAGCTGGCTAAAAAGAAAGCGCACAGGGAGCGATCGGGGAAGTCCGTTAGGCTCACCAGATAGAGAAATCAGCTGGTGTGAGCCTCGAGACTTTGCTGCTTCTGCTCAAGGCATAACATCAGTATAGCAGGTGAGGCCATGCTGTTTTCGGTTGGGTCCGTTCTTCTTGTGGCAAATGAAGGATTAGGTCAGGTTGCAATATCGTCAGCAATGTCGTCTATATATTGTGACATAATTTGGAGAGTGTCGAGCCAATTGAGCGAGTTAGCAATGCGTTTCAACAGCGCAGGGGAATAAAAATGTGGTACGTTTTAATATTTTATGCTGAAAGCGTTTGCTTGATCATAAGATTATGTGTGGTGTTTTAAAGACTCTGTTTTGATTAATCATTTGCAGAAGCACCATTGTTTGAAGTCGTCTGTACTCGAGTTTGTACTCGACGCTGATTGTATAGAAACAGCCTTGATTGACTCAATCAGAAATTGAGACTGGGAGTTGGCCATTGCGGGGAAATTTTATGGAGTTAATATTGTGCCATAATTAAACAAACAAATCCAGCATTTTGCAAACAAACTCGATCTGCTTTGCAAAGAAAAACTCGACTCGCAAACAAACAGAAAGCAATGTGTAAGTACAAAGGTCAATTTGAGCGAAAATGCAGTGGAGTAACACATATGCATTGTGTTTTGCAAATATAAATAAATGAGCCTAGATAATATTTAACAAATAAATACAAACCATCCTACAAATTGCATGTAACCTTTGAACAAATACCAAATCTAGTGCATAAATGCATATCTGTCTGTTATGATTGTGAGACACTTGGCTTTTTATGAGATCTCTCGGCTCGATTTTCTCACAAATGTGTCCAGGCAGATTTTCTCACAAATGCAGTTGAGCAACTTCCTCTTCTAAAACAGTAGATGGCGCTAAGATTGGGGATTAATTTAGCGCTAGTCTCCCAGGAGAAGCACTGATTTGAAATGCATGCTTGCCTTTGCCTACAGCTGTGGAAAATGACATGTGAACAGGTGTTTTTCTCTCTTACTTTATCTATAATTAACCTTTTTGAGGTCTTCTTTTGCAAAATGTTTATTACTAGACAGAAATCCACATTAGCACTTAGTAGCACTTCACTCTCTCTAGGATAGGGGAATCTATAAGCTGAAAGCTCTGCCATCATATGTTGCTTTTTTAAATTTTTGTAAAAACGTTACATTTACTGAACGAGTCTATTTCTTTCGTTCTCCATAAATGACTGAGAACATTTCATTTAATTGAAAGGAGGGTCTTTATTTACTTGTATTTATTTAGTTGGAATTCAGTCAGCTTAACTGTTAATGTAATAAAATAATGAATGAACAAAACAAACAATATACAATTGTTTCTTAACTTGCCTGTGACGTACTGTATGCAGTGGCCAAATTATTATTTTGGAAAGACAAATGAAACCCTCTTATCAATTAAATGAAATGTTCTCATTAATTTATGGAGAACGAAAGAAATAGACCCATTCAGTGTAGACATATTAATTAATTTAGTCATTTCGCATGCATCCGATGTAGAAAATGTAAAAAGCAACATATGATGGCAGAGCTTTCAGCTTATAGATTCCCTTATCCTAGAGAGAGTGAAGTGCTACTAAGTGCTAATGTTGATTTCTGTCTAGATATGTAATAAACATTTTGCAAAAGAAAACCGCAAAAAGGTTAATTAGATATTATTAATTATAGCTTTCTGTTTGTTTGCAAGTCGAGTTTTCCTTTCCAAAGCAGGTCGAGTTTGTTTGCAAAATGCTGGATTTGTTTGTTTAATTTTGGCACGAAATTAACTCCATATAGAGGTATAGTCTTGCATGATGTGAGACTTTTTTGTTTTTTAACAAATCTCTGCTGACCAAGGCTGCATTTATTTGATTAAATTGAACAATTGTTTGATATAGGCTATTGTTACAAAATAAAACAACTGATTTCTATTCTAATATATATTTAAAAATGCAATCTATTCCTGTGATGTGATGTCAAAGCTGAATTGTCAGCACTCAAGTCTCAAGACACATGATCCTTCAGTAATCATTCTAATATACTGATTTGTTGCTCAAAAACATTTCTTATTATTATCAATGTTGAAAACAGTTGTGCTACTTAATATTTTGTGTAAACTGTGATACATTTATTTCAGGATTCTTGATGTAAAAAGTTCAAAAGAATAGCACTTATTTTCATCTTTACATCATCTTTTGTAACATTATAAATGCATTTGCTGTCACTTTTAAAGAATATAATGCAGCCTTGCTGAATAAAAGTATGAAAATCTTACTGGCCCAAAACTTTTAAACGGCACTGTACATGATATATCTTTGATTCGATCATGTAATCTTATACAAGTGCTAATCAGTGGATGCAATGATGGAAACATCCTGTTGTGGGTTCCTTTGCAGGTGAAACTAGGTTTCCTCTTTTACACTTAGCTTTCTGAGTTGGGGGTTACCCTTGCCTCCTGATTCATCTTTGGGTTGGGTTTGTGGGTGGGGGACTATGTCATATGCATAATCACACTCCTTAAATATTTCATGGACTGGGATTTTTTTTTAATGATTGTTCAATTTTTATAGCTATGGAAAGCATACACACACAACACACAGGTGACCTTCCAACAATCCGCACCTGCTTAAAGTCTGCTGAACACGGGACAACTTTTTTGAGCAATGTTGCCAGGCAATGTTCCTTGGGGGCTTTCCCATTGAAGATGGGCAACAAATTTCTATCTGGATTCTTTAGATCGGTCTTGGGCCCTGTGTTATTAATTATTCGATCATTGTAGCCCGTTGACAGCAACATTGCTCAAAAGGTTGCCCCGTGTATCATCACCTTTACACTTGCATTTTCATATACAGTACATTGCACAATACTACATGTGTGTAAATGTGTATTTACTTGTGGGAGACACTGTTTTTATGATATATTTTTTTGTTCTTCCCATTTTGTGTTTTTTAAAAGTGTCCACTTGTGTTAAGTTTGGATTGGATTTTATTTATTTATTTAAACACATAACTGTAAGCACTGCATTAAAACAAAGACAAATATTATATTCGAAATAAAAATAAAATAATTAATTAAACTAAAATGAGATCACAATGTCTTAGATATGTGTTGTGCTTATTGAGACTATGGAAGCTACATAAGAAAACAAATCGTGTTTTGGTACATAATTTATCATAAAAAGTCATAATTATGAGATAAAATGTCAAAATAATGACATACTAAGTCAAAATTATGAGATAGTTGACTTTGTCACAATTATGATTTAATCTAATTGTTTCGACTTTTTATGTCAAATTTGAATTTCTCATATTATGATTTAGTAGGTTATGTAATAATTTTGACTTTTTATGTCATATTATATTATATATTAAACTATATTATGTCAACTTTTTATTCCATAAATATGATGCTTTATCTAATAATTCTTACTTTTATTTAATAATTTGTCATAACTGTGACGCCTATAGTATCTCATTGGCTACTGTCAACTTTTTATGTCAGGGCTTTCTCATGAATAATTTGTGCGTGTGTGTGTGTGTGGGAGAAATGGGCTTCGGAATGTTTGAGACATTTCAACTAACAATACTTTAGTATGAGTCTTGAATATGAAGAATTCACTGCAAAATAAAAAGCTTAAAAACAAACTAAGCACTGAAAGATATATATATATATATCTTTCATATACATACCTAATAGTACATAAAATGAGACCAATACGAACTCTAGGATCTTTACTTTAGGTGCAAATGAGGCAACCTGCACCGTGACGTCTGAACCGGAAGCCGCAACTTCCGGTCACCACTCCCACATATACGTCACGTCGGATTGACCAAACCCGGAAGTGAAGATGGCGACCGCCTACGAGAGGTTCAACCTGTAAGTTGAAACTTTTATTCGAGCACAGCGACATATATAAACCCATACAGTGCTTAGTTTCACTTTAATGAATGTCAGCTTGTTAAATGACAGCGTCTGTGTGCGCTGTCAGTGTGTGTGGTTGTCTGTACAGGGCAGTTTTATGTTGTTGTGGAAGCTGTACAGGCTTAAGCCGTTCAGAGACAGTTCAGATTGGCTGTGTATCAAAACCCAATGAGCTGCCTGTCTAGACAAAACGCTCGAGCCGAACCTTTTCACTGCATTTAGCCAATTCAACACACCTGTGATGCGCCAAATGCTGTCTAGGCAGCTCACTGGTTTTATTATGAGACTGTGGTGAGTCTGGACAGCACCTGTTCTCATACATGTGTGAGAGTGCAAGTTAGATGTAGACTACGTTGCTCATTTTTGACTGCTTAAAATGCACTGAAGCACAGTGATCTGTTTCAGTGCTGCATTTGTGTAAAGCTGCTGTTGAACAGTTGATCCTTTTCAGTCAATTCCTGCTATACACTTTTTTTTGTACAGTATGACATCTATTATTTGTTTGAAATATTACATTATATTTGAAAAAGCCATTGAGAACCATTAGATATGTATATAAATATCTAGTATGACTTATCTACACTGTTAAGATTGTGCTTTATTTAAGGGGTGAAACTGCAGGCACCATTGAAAGGGTAGTAAACCTGAATGGAATGTCACTAGCCCACACCTTTAACATCAACATGACAGTTGGTTGGTTATCAGACACTGATATAAGTTACAGTGGTCTGTCTGTATTGTGAGTTACTGAGTATCTGAACATGTTTTTCCTTTTTTTCCACAAGGATATTATTTTCATGACAATTGAAATGAAAATCATCTTATATGGGCACAGATTTTTTTTCCTTCAATAAAACCAGTATGTCAGAAACATAATTTGGCCCATAAGAGTCTCTATGTACTTTAAAGTCACCATGAAATCAAACTTGACAATTCCTGTATTTATGGAAGATTGCCGTATTCATCAAATGATTTATCTATGCACTATTATTATTATTATTATTATTATAATTCATGTGCCCTTATAATCTTTAATCAAAATAACTTCCCCTTCCAGTCCCGACAACGACATCTCTTCAGTTCTCTGATGATGTGTTTACTGGTGCAAGGGTGGGACAGCCTGTCAATCACATGAGACAGCTATAGCAAACCAATTCCCGATGGGCAATGTTAAGTCCCGGACAAAACATTTTTTCTTGTCTGAGAAGCTGTTTCACGTCACAATAGGAAAGAAAAGACTATTGCAACTTTTGTTTCATGCCGATTAAAAAAAAAATATATATATATATATATTATTTTAAGATAACATATATATATATATATATATATATATATATATATATATATATATATATATATATATATATATATATATATATATTATTTTAAGATAACAAAATACTACCATGTGTATTTCTGTACATTTCATAATAAAATACTACCATGATTTGTATTTATGTATGTTTCACAATTTAAATAATATATCTTTTTAAAATTGCTTTTATAATGAATTATTTTTTATAGTAATGATAAAATGTGCTTAATTGTCATAATAATGTTACAATGCAAAATAATTTAAATGTATTGTTCAAAAAATATTGATAGTAGTTATTTATTTGATTTAATTATTAATTATTTATTTAATGTATTTATTTTATTTGCTGTTGTGACCCAGACATGTTCTTTACAGTCTTTTAGGTTCACCATTATCCGTCCTAAACACCAAAATATAAATGATTGTTTGCATCAGCTTTAATTATGAAATTTGCCCTTATTATTGTATAGCCTACTTTTGTTTAGATGTACAGTAAGCCTTTGAGTCTTATGCATGGCCTCTTGCATAATAAAAAGAACATTGCCAGTGGTATTACAGAAAAATTATAATGACATTAACCCTTGCACCATAATCACTGTTTAGACTCATTACCCATTTTGATTCACCTTCAAATCAAATCAAATCACCTTTATTCTCTCACCACCAAAACAAAGAAGTGTAGTGGTGGGTGAAAGTCTTTGGTACGTACTTCAGACAGTGCACTTTACAAGGCATGACATGTACATGAAATATACAAAACAATACAAATTAAAATAGACACATGATACAGAATGTACACAATACAAAATATACACAATACAGGATTCATTGTGTATATTTTGTATTGAATGTTTTCTATGATTCATAATGGCTGTGTTTTGTCATATACAGACACGAGACACGGTTACACTTTATTTTAAGGTGATGTAGTTACATTCTACTCTCTCAAATACTTAGTATAAATTACTTAGTATTAGTAATATAAATTAACTACATGTACTTACTATAGAGTTGCGGCTAGGGTTATGGTTTGGTTTAGGGTTAGTTGCTTGTAATTATGCATAATTTACTGTAATTACTATAGTAAGTACATGTAGTACCGTGTAACTACATCACCTTTAAATAAAGTATAACCCTAGACACAGTTCTATAAGTGATGCAACTTTTCAGCAACTCTGACAAAAAACAAACAAACAAAAAAATCTGTTGCTTTTACTTGCGTTACCTGATCAATTGTCTCTGAGAATGATAAAAATACCAAGTTGTTGTGTAACCATGTGTCATCTAAACAAACCCAGCCATCAAGTAGCCTAAGTTTTGAACTTGAGACAAATTTCTCAGTCGTATTATGCACTAATGGTTAATAAGGCAGAAGTTAACCGTCCAAGCACAGGATGCCTCCCTCGTTGCAGACACGTTAAGTGATGCACAGAAATTGTTTGCTCAGCATTCTGGCAAGGAAGGAAGACTCCAGCCATAAAAGTGGGACACACACATAGGATGTGTTACTGAAACAGATTCTCAAACTCATCACACTGTGGAAACTTGCATAAAGAGATGAGATATCTCATCTCTTTAAAAGTATTTCATTTCTGATTTATGACACTGCTGATAATCTGGTCTCTCCAGATGGTCTGAGATGAGATTAACTTGATCTTTCCGACGATGTTTCGTCTTGTTGATATTATCACCAGTCAAAAGCTTCTCAGTGTTGTTTGTCTTCACTCAGTACTGTTTAGCACATTTTCAATAATCTTGCGATTTCCTACCAGAATGCAGATACTAGCTAACTTCCACATGCTAACCAGCCAAACCCTGACCCCTTATTTTATATAGGTAAAATATATGTGTTTACCAGCACAATGAGAAAAGACTCAGAATAGACGTGCTGCTCTCAGTTTAATCAGAAATAGTTGCGCTTAAAAAATAGAACACGATTGCTGATTTTTCTTGTCTTTTCTGCTTTTCATAGGCATGCAACACCTGAGAAGTTCTACATTGAGGCTTGTGATGATGGAGCTAATGACGTGTTGGTTATTGATAGGGTGTCCACCGAGATGACCCTTGCAGGTACGGTTTGATGACTAATAGGATTGGAAGCCAGTCTAAATACTTTGTATTCCATTACATTTTTTATACAAATGACCCATTGTGTTATAAGGCTCTTTGGTGTCCTATCTTTTTTTTTTAAAGCATAAAGCACAAATGTTTTACTGGACAACTACTGGAAATGTTTGATCAACTTTGTCTTATATAAAATTAGCCCAGCATGAGAAATTATCATATTAGATATCAAATCAAAAAATTGTCTAAAAGTCTCAGAATTTATGTACATGTCAAGTGTTATTTCACAATATTACAGTTTTTACTGTATTTTGATCAAATAAATGCCGCCTTGCTGAGCATAAGAGACTTCTTTCAAAAACATCTTGCCAACCCCAAACTATTATCTATTGCTAAACAATTGGCAAACTACCAAACTAGGGTGTTTAAACTATATTTCAAAATGTCCCAAATTTCAATAACAGGATTACTAAAAGTGAATAGCAAAAATAAACAGCTCATATAAAATGTAGATTGTCTTCCTGAGGTTGGCGATGAACATTTTCTGAAGGTTAAGCACGTCATTTCTCTGACCATGTAAAAAAGTACAGTGGAAGATTTATAGTATGGGCTGCTGTGATCTGACATTTATGAAGAGCTTCAACTTGCAAGAGAATCAGACCTTTCAAAGTGTACTGGCATTGATTAAAAGTTATGGAAGCTATTTGGATTTTGTCATAGTTCTCTGTTTTAATCTTGACCTCCCTGCAAAGTGACTTTTTATCATCACTGTCACTGTGACATTTTACATTTAAGGTAGTTGCTTTGTTAAAGGTGTATCCCAGAAATTGCAGAGCACAGCGCTGTTACTTCCTCATGCTGGAGCAGAGAAGTATATTAAAGGGGACCTATTATGCCTATAATTTCAATGTCTTGATTTTGAGGTCTATTAGATTAGGTTTTCATGTTTAAATGTTAAAAACCCCCATTATTTTTCACATATTTTACATTGTTGCAGCACCTCTGTAACGCTCTGTTTAGTTCCTGTTTCTATAAAGCCCCTCTTTTGAAAAGTGCAATGTATGTTGTGATTGGTCAACCACTTCGAATTTCGGAAATGTCACACACACGAGTTTCAACTCATTACTAATGCAAATTAACCAGGCCTGAATTTTTGTGCATGAATTGTGTGGAAATGATTTAAATCAGGGATATTGTGACATGTATATTCCCAGAAAAAAACTCAAGACTACAGTCGAGTCATTTCAGGGAGTTCAGAAACAGTGATTACTGATATACTGAATAACTCCCTTTGGAGTGACTTTGTGTTTTGTAACTTTGCAGACCTTTTTCATGCTCAAACAGCAACATTACACACTAAAGAAAGTTGAAAAAAGCGTAATAGGACTTTTTGAATCTCCCCAATCTGCAAAATGGGTTACTGTTATTTGTATGGTGCATTAATGTTTTTTCTTCTTGAAGGTATTAAGGACATCCCCCCATCAGGCGTAACCAGGCCCATTTGTGGAATCATGGGAACTGTTCGCCTTGTGGCTGGTAGGTCCCATATTATAATGTTCCACATAGAATTCGGAACGTTAATTGTATCACGTACATGTTTGCTTACCGTGACGCATGACTTTTTTTGGCTTCTTCAGGGATGTACCTCATAGTCATCACTCGGAAGAGGAAAGTGGGCGACCTGTTTGGCCACACTGTATGGAAAGCGGTGGAGTTTGATGTGATTTCTTATAAGAAGACCATTTTGCACCTCACAGACATTCAGGTCATCAAAGTCCCTAACGTCAACTTTCACAGTCTAATGCTGATGTTTGTGACACCTTGAATAGAAAGTGGGCTCTAAATGTCAATTGTTGTTTGATGAGTTTCCCAGTACATCTCTAAGTCATAACCAAAGATTTCCTGCTATGATTTTTTAGCCTTTTTTCTATTTATAGTTTACTCAGAAGTGCTGTGATAACAACGCAGCAGATGCAGCCCCAGTTTGTGAAAGCGGGATGTACTCGTAGTCGTACAGTAAATTTTTCATTTGAGCCCACGCTCAGAGCTCAGTGATATCTCATTACAGTGTTGTATACTTGCTGCATTATTTAGCAAGGCTAAGACTTCGGCTGAAATGCTGGCCTTGGATACAGCCGGTGAGTAGACCAGCAATGGGCACAGGAAATGTTTCCTGCTAGAGTTGAAAAAGTGCCTGGAAGGCTTGACTGCAAGTGGACTAACTAGACCGATAAAGTACTCCAAACACCTCTGAACCTTCAGGAGAGTAAAGTAAGGGCAATGGAGAGTTTGAGTCTGCAGTGAATGCTTCTAGCGACGGTTTAATTGCATTGTTTTGTCTCAAAATGTGCCAGACCACAATTTAATAAGAAAATGCAAGGACGTTTTGCATTCTCATCGTTGTTTGCATCCAAAGTATGATTCTAGCCTCACTAATAAGACACTGAGATGAAGGTGCCACACGTTTACTAATCTGTTGCTCACCCTAATTTTTATTCCATGCATGAATTGTCTACATAATGATATATGTTAAATATTGTGAAATTTTGATAATGAATTGCATTTCAATATTAACTCTGTGGGCACAGAGATGAGCAGAATTTAATAACTGCAAAAGGTTCTGCTGACTATGTTCTTCTGGGAGGAGGACTCAATGCAGGTCGTTCCTATTCCACCCCATTCCCAGAGTCAGAACTTTGGCTAGTGATCACTGACCGCAGAAGGGATATGCACAGACTTGAAGTCTTGCCATTGGCCTAGAGCATAGTTTTGGCACCTGCACATTTAGCAAAGCTTGTTTTCAGTAAGAATGAATGAGTTGTGCCAAAGTAATATTGCCGTGAGTGCTGTGTTATGCACTGGAGCAGATTAACTTGTGAACATGCATGATTTGAATATATGCATAAACCTCAACTACAAAACTTTCAACAGACTTTGAACATGACAAACTCCTTTTCTTTGTCAAAGTCATGGCTTAGCAGTTAGATCTGCTCCAGACACATTCCCCCGGTTTCACAGACAAGACTAAAATGTATGTTTGAGCTGTTTTAACTGAAAGCAACTTGCAATAATATATCTTAAAATATGTCAGTGCCATTGTTTTGTCTCTAGATGCACACCAGTAGTGTTTTTTTCTTGCTTGCTTTTTAAGGCATGTTTATAAAAGCTACTTAAATATCCTTATTGAACTAAGGCCTAATCCTGGCTTAATCTAAACCCTGTCTGTGAAACCGGGCCATTAAGTGTTTATGAGAGAGATGCAAGTTCAGATTTGTCCCACATTATATTGTGACACAAATTTGCCAATTGTCTATTATAAATTTAGCACAATCTTTTTTTTTTCATGAATTTGGGCAAAAAAAAAAAAAAAAATTAGCTGAAAAGAGAGAAACAGACAAAATAGTATCATTCAATTATATGAATGATACATTAATAATATAAACAATTGTTTTATTATTATTAGTATTATTGATAATTATTAGTTGTATCATAAATAATGATTTTTTAAATGTATAATTTAAGGCGAGACACTACAGGCAAAAACACAGTTTTCATGGACCTGTCAATATCTTTAAAGGCTGTTTTCTCAAAATGAGTATTTTCTCCTAATCTGAGTCAGAATGTTCCACTTCAGCAGAACTTACATAACACCAAACTTTACAGGTTTTTTCCTATCTATATTCTGAAGGTTTTTACAGAGGGGTTTATATAATTTTCCTGATTTTATACAACATTTTATTCCTATATATATATATAAAAATTCTGGCTGTTGACAGTATTTTCTGTGATATAAAGTGATATCCAAAATCCTCTCTCTAAAAACCTTTACTCTAATATGTCTAATATGTCCATTTTTTTAACCTGACTTCATCCAATGTTCAGATTTTTGTTCTAGAAATGTATGCAAATTAGTGCATATTTAATCAGATAGTGAGTGCCTCATTTGCATATTTAAACTTAACATTTCAGAAAACTTGTAATACAATTTTTTTGTTGCAATTCTTAATGTTATCAATTAACCGGGGAAGTTTGGTGATTTATCTATAAATATTTTTTTTACCCTATTCACCTGGGGTCTCTTGCCTTAATAATAAAATCAAAATACATACAAATAGAATTAAAATATTATCAATGTATTTAATTATTATTATTGCATAATATATTCATAAAAATAATACTTTATGTTTGTATTTACTTTATCTTTATACTTTATCTTTGTTTCATCTGCAACTGTTCAAACAGAAAAACAATTATAAATCATAATATTAATTTTCAAAAGTGTACCTTTAAATAATTTGGACATTTTCAAAAGGTCTTTTTAGTAGTTAATTTTAACAGACATTTTTTGATAACATAAATCTATATATCATTATTTACCATAATTGTAAGGTTTACTTTTGGTTATATTGCTAGGTTTTATTGTCAAGTTAATTATTGCTCACCCCCATCTTCTCTCCATTATGTCCTGTAATTTCTTTACTTTTTCCATGAATAAAATTGCCAAAATGCCCCAATTAATTAAATAATAAAACAACAACCCTAGTCTTATTTCTGTTCGTATCATGTATTGCCTATAATCTTATTCAATGGCTGTTTCCTTCTCACAGATGCAAGACAACAAGTCATTTCTGACTATGATTAGCAGTGTACTCAATACAGACGGTTTCTACTTCTGCACGGACTATGACCTGACCCACACCCAACAGCGCCTGTCCAACACCAGCCCGGACTTCCAGGAGATGAGCCTGTTAGAGAGGGTGAGCAGAGGAAAGACTGCAGATGAGAGCGAGTGATGATGGCAGAAGAGAGACAGAGCTGTTTGAGGTTTCAGTGGCAGAGAGAGAAATAGAGCACAGCAGGGTGCAGGTGGTCTGGTCAGCTCATTGACTCAAACCGCATTCCTAATTTACAATAAAGGGCCGTCACAGGAGATGTGCCGTCTCTTTGTAAACTAGATTTGCAAAGCTCTTGTTTTACAAGAACACTTGCTGACATGCGGGCACACACTGTTTTCCCTCATGTTTTGTTTTCAAAGCCAGATTTTGTGCTTTTGTGTCTGGATTTTTTGATAAAGTTCAAGTTTGGTGCGTTCCAACTTCCTGAGCATATTTGGTTGCATTGTTCATCATGTCTTACATCCTGCAAAATGACAATAACTTCTCAGATGATCTCTGGAAGTTGTTTAGTTTGGTCTTCTCTCTTGTCTCTCCACATAGGCAGACCAGAGGTTCGTGTGGAATGGAAACCTTTTAAGAGAAATCGTCTCACAGCCTGAGGTATAAAAATGTTCCTAATACATAAAACATTAAACATATGAGAAAACCATACATGCTTATTCACTGGTTCCCCTTTTCAGCTGCATAAATTTGCATTTCCTGTCATCCATGGATGTATCCTTTAAGGTGCATTTTAACAACGTTGTTCATGGTTAAGTTGCTCTCTTTATTTTGCCTTGACTGTGTGGATAAAGAAAAATAATTGGACATGATTAGTTTAAAATCCATATTCTACAAATAAATTTTATTTAGCAAGGGGATTGCACCTGTCATTTGCACTGTAAGTTGCTTTGGATATAACTGTCAGCTAAATGACACATTAGTTGTAAAACCACGTGATATTGAGGCTTAACCCATCGCTTCAGTTATTGTGATGAAGCCATGCTGCATCAATGGGAAGGTGTTTCAGTGGATCCTCATCTCTAGACGGAGCTGTTTTAGAGCAGGGGTCCGATATTATGTCAGAGGTCAGATATATTCAAGCATTTATACATATGCACACAGTTGTCTTTACTGCAGATATTATAATTTTCCCTTGCACCCCAGGCATTGACTCTGAAGGACATGCTGCTAACTTCGTTGAGACAGAACAGATAGTCCAGTACAATAATGGCAGGGCGTCCTTTGTGCAGGTTGGTTGAAATTACTGTTGGCCTCTATTAGAAGGATATTTGTTGTTGACCTCTCAAAATTCACCCCAATTATGCTCTTTCACTCTCCTCTTACACAGACTCGAGGCTCCATGCCCTTTTTTTGGTCTCAAAGACCCAACCTGAGGTACAAGCCCAAGCCACAGATAAGCACCGAAACCAATCATGTGAGACCACATCTATCATCTATCTGTCTGTCTGTCGTGTCTATCTATCTATCTATCGTGTCTATAAGCACCGAAACCAATCATGTGAGACCACATCTATCATCTATCTGTCTGTCTGTCGTGTCTATCTATCTATCTATCGTGTCTATCTATCGTGTCTATCTTATCTGGTTGCAGATGGATGGATTCAGGAGGCATTTTGAATCACAGGTTCTCATTTATGGCAAACAAGTGATTCTAAATTTGGTAAATAAATTCTTACATTTTTCTTGTGGTAGAATATTTCAGAAAATTGTAGCCATTGGTCACAAAGCTTAAGATAATTGCTTTGTCTGTAGGTGAATCAGAAAGGATCTGAGCTGCCCCTTGAACAGGCCTTCGCCAAAATGGTCAACGGCATGGAAAACGGACTCATCAAGTACTTAAACAGTTTTTTTTTTTATGCCTACAGATGCATCTTTAGTCGTGTTTGGCAATTAAGGCAATTGCTCATTCTAGGATTTGGGTTTTTGACAAACCCTTAAAACTAAGTATTACACTATGTCAGATAACTCAAATCACATGCCTCAAACCATTCATCTTGTTGAGGAGAAGTGTGCTCTTTGACCAAAACACTGTAAAAACAGTAGTATTTTGGAATATTATTACAATTAAAAAAAGCTGTTTTCTATTTTAATATACTTTAATGTATTCCTGTGATGGCAAAACTGAATTTTCAGCATCATTACTCCAGTCTCCAGTTACATGATGCTTCAGAAATCATTCTAATATGCTGATTTACTGTTCAAGAAACATTTCTTATTATCATCAATGTTGAAAACAGTTGTGCTACTTAATATTTTTGTGGAAACCCTGATACATTTTTTCCAGGGTTCTTTGATTAATAGAAACGCATTTATTTAAAATAGAAATCTTTTGTAACATTTATAAATGTTTTTACTTCTTTTTTACTTGTCTGAGCTTTACTTAAAAGCAGATATATTATGATCATATCAGATCTTTCTATTTGCCTCTTGTATTTAACTGTGTAGTGACACTTGTGTTTCATTTGAGGTACATAGCCTTTGACTTTCACAAAGAGTGCAGTAAGATGAGATGGCATCGCCTCCAGATTCTCGTTGATGCAGTTTCTGATATGCAAGAAGAGTTTGGGTTTGTATTTATTTCTGTACTGTCATTTCCTATAAATTTGTATAGGAAATATTACATAAGAAGCTTTTGGAGATGACATAAAGACTATATGTCTGTGAAGAGAGGATGGAAAGTCTGATGTGTAAATATGCAAGTCATTTAATCAGGACTGTGGTCTCTGATGTCGTCACTGGCTCGCTTTGATCTGGTTCTTGAATGTTGATTCTGCAGGTACTTTATGGTGAGCTCAGACGGGAAGGTGTCGTCCGAGCAGTCTGGAACCTTCCGCAGTAACTGTATGGACTGCCTGGACCGCACCAACGTCATTCAGAGCCTGCTGGCCAGACGCTCCCTTCAGAGCCAGCTACAGGTGAGAGACCGCATCACAAATAGCCTCGTCCTAACTAGGTGTGATGCAATTGAGGACACTTACGCACTTGAGAAATCTGACTGATTTTTGTGGCTTTGTGCAGGATTTTCTGTCAGTGAAAGAAACTTACTAGAAACTTGATGCGTCATGTCTTTTGAGGATGTGTAAACCAGGGTTTCCGTTGTCCGGTAATTACCGGACATTGGCCGGGAAAAAAATGAAATGTCCGACAAAATTAAATCTCTCCGGTCAAATTGTCCGATTAAAATTGCGTAATAATCCCGCCCCCCTAACACAATATGAATTTGAGAATAAGCCTAAAATGTATAAAGAAAAAATACACCGACCTTTGGCTATGTTATAGGAACAGGCTCTACCGTTTGAAAGTTATTAAACAACATCGCATGCTGCATTTCAAATAAAGCGCACGCCTAGAACGGCTGTAATATAGGCCTAGACCTAAACAACGAACGATTGAGTGAGACGTTTCAAATATGGCCAGGTCCATTGATATTATTGATAAAGTTGATAAATTGATAAAGTTGACGATGCAGACTCGCCATCTTCGCAGTAGTGAACGCGCCTATAGAGAGAAGTGTGCACGCGCCGACGCCTCCGTGTCCTGATTAGCCTATTGTCCACTATATTTGCTTCTTATTTAATAATCCAGGAAAATTTGTTGATGAAACATTGATTAAAATTAATATACAATTTATACAAAACGAAATTTTCAAGCAAAAATAATATTCGAAGATCGTTGGGTTGATTATTATTCGAAAATCGCACCCCTCCACCACATGCACGCACACATGCATTAAGGCTACACACCAGAGCATGTGAGCAAAGCGGAGCGGTGTGACGCTTATTATAAGTTAAAAAACTTAAATATACGTTTCATTTTTATAAATAATATAATGTCATTATTTTTTTATTTCATCTATGTTGATTAGGCTATATGAAAAGGGAACCGCATGAGATGAGTAAGATAGGATCATAAGATATATATCGGAAAACATTTGGAATTGGTCAGACATGATTTTGACCACTTATTTAGTTTTGTTTTGTAGAAAGCCTTTCTTTAAAGTTTATTTCGTTTTGTATAAATTGTATCTTCATTTTAATCAATGTTTCATCAACAAATTTGCCTGGATTAAAAAATAAGAATTTATTCATGAAGTGTGCATTTCTCTCTCTAGGCGCGTTCACTACTGCGAAGATGGCGAGTCTGCATCGTCAACTTTATCAATTTATCAACAATTTAAATGTTTCATGCATAATCATTAGCCTACTTTCGCCGGTTCTTTGTGGCAAGCTTTATTTCAGGTGTTGCGTGATATCTCTGCGCCCAAGTAGCAGTGCTTCGCCTGTGTAGACTCTCCGCAACGGCGATAGATTGAAACGCGCGTCCGAGTGAAGATTGCGCAACTCCCGCAGCGCGTCGTCCATGCAACTGATAGCAGCGGACACGAGCGCTCAGCTTGATTTAAAAAACAACTGATTTTAGCGCTAGATCTCTTATTTAATAGCGAACTAAATGAATGATCTGCTAGTTAACTCGAGATGTTAACTAGTTAGCTAGTTATTTATTTGTATTAGGTACATCCGTGCCTCAATGTTTCAAAAAGTGAATGTGTGTGAAACCATAGTAAAAAACAATTGGTGTTAATTGACGCCAATCAGACGTTCATGTTTTTTTCGTCTATTTGAAAGTTAGGCTAATAATAACATGTTGCATTCTATACCGCCTGATTATGTCATTTTTTAAGTTACATAGCCTGCCTCCAGTTTTCCTCAACTTGACTAATTAAGAGGCGATATTTGACCGGCATATCATCAAAATGTCCGTTAAACGAAACCTCTGCCGGTCACTTTGACCGGCACCATTTTTTTCTAGCGGAAACTCTGGTGTAAACGCTCTATTGTGCAGTCATGATCGCTTGCAAACATTTAGATATCAGTGAAATGGATCCATAATGTGGTTGACAATTGGTTTGTCATTATGTGTACCTCCTCACCTTGAGCTGCATGTCATTTCAGAGGATGGGTGTCCTCCATGTAGGCCAGAGGATTGACGAACAGGCTGATTTTGAGAAGATTTATAAGAACGGTGTGTTTATATTTCTAGAAATGACTTCAATACACACAAATTCTCCTGTTATCGACCGTAAATTAAGCAAGTTATTTTTTCATTTACTCTTTCTCTCAGCGTGGGCAGACAATGCCAATGCCTGTGCTAAACAGTATGCAGGAACAGGAGCCCTGAAAACTGACTTCACCAGGTACTCGTCCCAGACTCCTTTTAGAATATCTGCAGTTGTGTACGTCTACCGTTGTAACCTTCACCTTTGACCTCAGAACCGGGAAGAGGACTCATTGGGGCTTGGTAATGGACGGCTGGAACTCAATGATCCGTTATTACAAGAACAATTTCTCAGACGGGTTCAGACAAGTGCGTATGACATCTTTGTCTTTATGTCTTTCAATCAGACCCAGTTTGCTGTGGTGAATTTTAAGTAATTGACTTTGCCCACAGGACTCCATCGATCTCTTCCTTGGAAACTATACAGTGGATGAAACTGATGGCTTGACGCCTCTGCACGCGCAGAAGGACTGGAAGTTCCTCTTGGTCAGTGCTTTGTGCATTCTGCTTGTAAGAGAATACGAATTAAAAGAGGTCAATACCATGATGAATAGAAAGAGAAAAATTTAGTCCAAGCTGCTTCAGGCAGTCCTAACATTTATAATTCAACACCACCAGCTGCTGGTCATTTCCTGCATATTTTATGTTGCTATTTCTCTGTAATTCCTTCCGCAGCTTCCTGTTATTATGGTGGTGGCTTTCTCCATGTGCATCATCTGTCTCCTAATGGCTGGTAAGGTCATTATAATGCAATGTGAAATAAAGCAGTAGGGTCAATGACCTTGACCCTAATTGTTTTATGTCCAGATACATTAATTTATTCAAAAAGGTAATCCATTTAAGATGCATTTAAGATTTATACATGCAGTGACTTAAATACGCCTCTTCAGTGATGAGCATGTTTTTAATTTCTCAATTAAAATTCATTTTAACCAGGCTGATATCATAAATAATAAAAAAGCCTCTTTAAAGGGGTCCTATTGTGCTTTTTTCGTGTGTGTCATGTTACTGTTTGAGCTGCAATGTTACAAAGCACAAAGTCAATGCAAAGGGTCGGGGAGTTATTCAGTATATCAGTAAGCACTGTTTCCGAACTCCCTGAAACGCCTCGATTATAGTCTTGAGTTTCCTTCCGGGAATGTACACGTTGCAATATTCCTCATTTAAATAATTACCATTTTCCCAGAAAGTTTGAGTTCGAATACAGTAGTAAAGTAGTTTGTGAATAATAATGGATCTGTACTCTCTATCAGGTGACACTTGGACAGAGACCCTGGCATACGTGTTATTCTGGGGAATGGCCAGTGCTCTTACGGCCGCTGTCATCGTGGTCAATGGACGAGAGTTTGTTGACGCACCGAAACTGGTCCAAAAAGAGAAGATGGATTGAATACACAGACCTCATTCTTTCTGCTCTCTTGTTTCCTCTTCATTTTCCTCCAAAAGTTTTTATTAACCTGCTCTCCACACTGTCCTTAAACTTCTTCAGCAGAGCAAGTATCCCTGTTTCCTGCTCCTATAAAAAAACTGTATTACCAGCCTGTATTACCTTATAATTTCACAACACTTACTGTCGCACTACAAATTTCCATTGAATCATTGGACATGGTGTCCAAATTTCCTTACTAGTTTAGTTTCATCAGTTCAAAATTGCTCATGGGTTGCACAAGATCTCCAGCCTGTAAGTGCATTGTGAACATAGCATCTTATTTCAAAGCTGTTGTGTTGTTACTTTTTGGAGATCAATCTAAATTGACTCGTTGTGAAATTCGAGTTCTTGTTTTGGCTCTAGAGTTTCTGCTTTATGATATTGTACACCAGACCTGTGCCCATTGGCCCAGTCTATGGGTTGATAGACCAATGAAGGTCTATTCTGATTAGATTGCTATGCAAGTGAATGTTACATGATGCATCAGTGGCTCATCAATTGGTTATTACCATTTCTGTCCTCTCATATCTGTCCCGAAATCAGCCTTATGCATTGGTTATTTTTAGTTGTTCTTTGCAGTGGCAGTTTGGGTTTTAATGTGGTTTCCTTTTGTTCTGCCAGCATGTTTATGGTTTTGTGTCCCTCATAAATGATCAAATTAGACAGCTGTGGGGCCACACTAGGGGGAGAGAGAAGTATTAAGCACTTTCTTTATGAGTTTACAGAAAAAAATGTGAACAGCACTTTCCTGTATGACTTCTTTATGTCTCTTCGTGGACCAATGAACACTAACAGATATGACACGTATAGAAAAAAGTCACTCTTTAATGGCTCTTTGATTGCACTCCTCTTCAATGTTACCAGTTCAGTGGCAGTTCATTAGACGGAAATAGACTTCAGATTACCTGTCAAATTGGCTCACACTTTTGATTGAATTCACTTAAACTATACTGACAATTGAAAAGGTATTCGCTTTTGATTCAATTATTTAGACAGGTGGCTTCATGAACAGAATCAGAATAAAATTGTCATTTTCTTAATGTTCACTTGCATGATGGTGCATTTTGAAATGTCTTACCTTTAACCCACCAATTTCCTTTCATTTTGACAAACTTAAACATATTTAGCAAGGTTTTTTTTTTTTGTGGCAAATGGATTACTTTAAGGTCTTCCTTTTGAACTCATTACTACATTTAGAACTGAATGGTTATCAGTTTGGTTTAATGTAGAAAAAGAATGTAGATTTTGATGCCTTTATATCTGTGTTTTGTAATCTTCTGCAAATGATAATACAAGCTTCAGTGACTGTCATTTGGGAAAAATTTCAACAGGATATTGCAAATGCCAGTTTCATCAAATTCAATTGGGGCATATTTTATCCATTTGCTTTGTGTGTGAAGATGAAAAGAATATGCAGTACCACTTGGAATTAAAATGACTGGATGGAAACACAACACTAATAATTAAATCCTGTACGTTTGATGTTTACCTGTGTAAATCTGATGTGTAAACTGTACATTGGAAAGAAATTACGAATATATATAAATATGAGTGTCATTGTACTGTACAGTGTAGTTTACAACATCATAGCTTTAGCACTTTCTGGTTGAGTTATTGATCAATCGAAGTGATGTTACTAATCACATTCTTCCATCACAGGGTTGGATGAATATGGATTTCATTACCCTAGATTATGAACTGCATCATTGTATTTCCAGGGTGCGATGGTTTGAAGTGTGTTAAATGACATATTATCAATATTAATTGTGTTTTGGTCTTGTTCCTGACAGTGTTTTAAATACTGTTTAATCTTCTTTCTCATCTTGTTTGATTAAGAGAATATATGCCTCAACATTACAGTGGGATTTATGATTACTGTGGTCATTATGAAATATTCAGTAGCTACGCACCCATGATTTCAATGGAACAATTTGTGAGACATTACATCAGTTGTCTTTAATAGTATATCAATCTTTTCCTTATCAGTCTCTAACATCTACAGTTCTGGTGAAAAACCACACTGCTTAAGACTATTGCTCATAATCTTGGTATTGTTTGCTTTTGAGTCATTGAGGTGTAATTCAACCACTGTAACTGATGGATTCATTATGAAAACATGTTTAATAAATTCTACTAGTAAAGTGCTTGTTCTGCTTCTTATTAATGCAATTACTATTAACAGAGCTGAGACACAAACATCAGAGTTTATGAGATGGTCTCTGTTTTCTAGTCTTCAATCAGCCGTGTTCTTCCATCCATGTAAAACATTATACTGAGATTCCAATTCTTTCCGGTGGCTTTGAAATGTTTCTGTTTTATATTCACTTTAATTATTTCTCTGTCTGTTTGCAAATATCTCTTTTTCCCACCCTTCAAGGTCCATCCTGAATTCATAGCGCCTCCATGTGGTTACCCATTGTATGCAAATTATTACCACGTAAAACAAAGATAGGCCTTTTGATACTAAACTCACAGACAGCAGGAAAATGCTTACTGAATTTTAAGTTCAAATACAAAGGATACAAGTCGTCAAACCAACTACATATGGCTAAAATATAAACAACAATGTGATTTAAGCTCATGCGCATGCACGTTGTAGTAGAGTAAACAAACAAGCGGTTGGCTCTTGAACACAGCCGCCATATTAAGCGTTACGTCGCCAAGATCGTGTCTGTTGTCTACGTGGGCTTTTATTTTGAAAATCGTCTTTAGGGTGCGAAATTTCCTGTTTAGTTTTCTGACTTCATTTCAGCGAATTTTAGGTGTTAACGTTTTAGCTGTTTAAAACACACGGAGCAAAATAGAAAATATATAGTAGGTATGACCGAACTTAGACACAGAAAAACAACAGACTTTTGTAAACGAGTTCAGTTTGAGTGTTTTAGTTTGATGTTTTCGCTATTCCAGTGATGTGGATGAAGCTGGATTGATCACCAGACACCATAAATGTGTTTGTGTTCTGTATTATTGATTTCTTCTCAATAAATCACTGTCAAGTAAGTTCATGTTATTTATCATATTAGTTTGTAGTGTAGTGAAGACTGTGTTAGACAGTTTGTCTGAACAAAAGACGATACACAGTGTTAGCTACTTTACAACAATGTAATACACATGCAATAACAATGATCAATTGTGCTGCTGCTTTGTTCTAAATATGAATGAATGGCGTTATGAGAATATTCATAGACATGTTGTTTCTGATGCGTATTTTGTATGTTAAATTAAATATTTACTTGTATAGTAACTTAACTTCAGTGTCACAAAAAAAACAGTTAAACTTTATTTTAAGGTGACGTAGTAACAAATAAGTAAGCTACTGGGTAATATTGATTAACAACATGTACTTACTATAGAGTTAGGGCTAATGTTTGGTTTAGGGTTAGTGACTTGTAATTATGCATAACTTACTGTTAATACTATAGTAAGAACATGTAGTAACGTGTAACTACGTCACCTTAAAATAAAGTGTTACCAAAATAACAGAATTATCCAGAAAGCTTTTTACTGTTTGATGGAAATCCCTTAGTTAATTTATTAGCAGTAACAGGATACTGTGATAATTCATTTATAAGTGTGGATATTTGTTTTGTTTGTATTTATATAAAATACTGCATATCAAGTAAATGTGTGTTTTTTTTTTCCCCCTTTAGCTTCCTGTAGAAAAACATGAATGTGGATGTGGTGAGTTTCCGTTTGCCCGGGCATGGAGACAACACCCTGAGTAACATGAACTCCCTGCGGGCACAGCAGCACTTCTGTGACGTCACCATCGTGGCGGGAGGCAGGCGCATGTTCAGGGGTCATAAGGTCGTGCTGGCTGCTTGCTCTGCATTTCTCAGGGACCAGTTTCTCCTGAACCCCTCATCAGAGCTACAGGTGAACAGCTTCTCATACGATCAGAATTACTAAGTTAGAGGGTCATCAGAAGCGAACCATTTGATCTTTCTTCTGTATCATTAGTGTTGATTTGATCCATTTTACTTTTTATGTAGTGGATCTACTAAATTAGTGTGCCACCAGTTAGCATACAATTATTTTGATGACATTCTTTCCATCCACCCATCCAAGGACACGTCTCATTTCTGAATATAAAATATCCTTTACTCATTAAACCTATTTCAATACTTTTTCATTTTGATTTAGGTGTAATAGCTGCTTCATTGATAGACTGGTTGGGTTAAGCTAAAATGTACATATTTCTTGGCTCAGGTGCTATCAAAACATTACTGCATCAAAACACAGCAAATTTGGCTTAATCAGTGGCATGACTTTGGGCTAGGGAAGTGTCAGGAAACATGTTTGAAATCAATCTATATTTATGCAATTCGCATTTGGCTAAGCCCCGCCCCCCTTAGTAACTGTTGCTACGTCCGACAAACAAACTTCATCTGGGCTCTGGTATCAACATGGCTTATGCTGTGACAGCTCATCCTGCTGAAATTTTATCAAACTTTTATAAAGCAGCAAATAAAGTGTCCGATAGAAGTAGGCAAAATGGGCTGCAATATACGTTCGAAGGCTATCACGACATACAGGTGAAACGCAAGGAACAACAAGGCATCCAAATAGAGGCAAAAGCATACCGGTCACAGTAAAAAAAATAACCACCGCATATCCTACTAATTGAGACGGAGGCTGGGACTAACAATATCAAGGAGCAACACTGTTCATGCAAAGCTGGGTAGGTCTCTATTCACTTCTATAATCGTTATTACAAAGCAAACGGACCACGCGAGTATAAAGTTGTATTTATTAGCAGCGTGAGCTAGACGACACTTGTCAGGATTTGACTTCGGTTTTGGGAAGGGAAAAAAACGGACACCCCCCTCCAACCTCTCTGGGAAACGCGTATCTGTGTTACAAATGCCCCAGGCACAACGTTTAACTATATTTTTGATAAAACTACGACGGTAATAGCCTGTCGAGACCAACAATATGAGACGCCTGTGTTAAAGTCAATGAAGCGCTGTGTAAAAGTGTCGGACCTATGTGGAAGCTCGTTCTTGGCTGGGCTGTGATTGGTCAATCTACATTCTAGGGTGTGGCTTAGCCAAAGGCGCATTCCGTTTGGCATTGCTAGTGATGCAGAATTTACACACCTTTAAAGTTGGCATGAACTGAAAATTCACCCTATCTATTTTCTAAATGCACACGATTTTCCAAGGAAACAACAGACATCTTACTGGTGATGTATGCCGACATTTTTCAACCATTTAGTTCAATTAAACCCATCCCTTGCTTACAATCGACTGGACTGCAAGCTCACATTTAGATCTGCCTCCATTCATACAACAAACAATAAATAGAACCAGCTCCCTGCCTTACATTTTTTTCCATACCATTCGGATGTATATGGATCACTATATGGAAGAAAAGATCCGGCGCTACTACCGCTTCTTTGCAATCCTGTCAACTAATGCTCTCTCTGTTCAGCAGGTGTCGATGTTGCACAGCTCAACGGTAGTATGTGAACTCCTCCAGTCCTGTTACACAGGGATGCTGCAGTTCAGTGCCAGAGAAATTGTGAACTACCTGACCGCTGCCAGCTACCTGCAGATGGAGCATGTGGTGGAGAAATGCAGAGGAGCCCTGAGCCAGTACATGCAGCCCCGGAGTCGCAGCCCAATTGTGAGTATTCCAAACTCAAACACTATTACAGACCTTGTTTCTTCTTAATGAAATAGTTCATCCAGAAATAAAAATCCTGGCTTGGAGGAGACAATCTTTTCTGTACATTTACATAGAAGACACGTTTATGCAAAGCAACTTACAATAGAGGAACGTAAGCAATTAGTCACAGAGA